GGCCGATGCGCCGCCGCCGGAAGGTGGGGGGGTGGGGAGGGGGGGAGTTCTGGCGACCGCCACCACCCGTGAGTAACAGTTCCACGTTTGACAAGTCATGTGGAAGGATCTGGGCTGAAGTTATCCCAGCATCCTTGTGTTTAAAAAGCAGATGTATAGGCAGTGTGTTTTTCTGTTGGCTGGGGCAAGTCGGCATGTTGTAAATATGTTGTCAGGAATTCTGTGTATCCTTGCAAGAAACTGCCATTACATTAGTTTTCCAAACAGTGAAATTTTCATCTTGTTATAAAAAAAAAAAATAATAAAAATGCTGCAGTTTCTTAACAAAGTTGGCACAAGAACTTTGATGTACCTGCATTAAAGTTTCCTTCAGATAATCTTTCACAGCTTGTGTCGTCCTTCACGTCCTTCTGTCAGAGGTTATCAGCACCACAACTTTAATAATATGGCACTGGAAGGCTGAGGAACTAACGGATGTGAATGTTTTTTCTCCACTGTTGGTGGGAAGGCATGGCATGTGCTTTAGAGGATAATTTCTTAAGTTATGGAGTGTGAATTCCCAGCACACACACGCAGAAGTAATATAAGCACTGTTGCTTAAGAGGTCACTTTTGTCTGCCACCTATGAGTGGTGACCTCCTCAATAGATTTGAACAAAAGGAGCATATGCTTGTACTGGGCCTCATCCACTTCATAACTTAAATTCAACTTTCACTGTCAGTTCCAGGGAAGATGTTGGCCATCTGTTGGGTGCTAATCCATACTGGAATGCAGGCAGCAGCAGTTACTTTGCTGTTGTGATCTGACGTCACAAAACTGATACTTTCTTCTCAGAAGTATATATTCAGAGTATTCTCACACTTGGCTGTTGCTAGCATTGCAGCCCAAAGATAGCCAGAGGGGTTTCAGCTGTGTCAAAAGTATTTGTATAGTCTGGAGGCTATTACTGATAGCAGTACATAATCCATGATTTTGCAAATGCACTTAACAAAGTTAAGACAGCTTGAATTAGAAATCTTTTTATAAAAACATCTAGTTGTTTCATCAGTCCTGCAAATATAATGCTGTGTATCTAAGGTGCCTTCCAGGTGCATTATCTTTGGGATTTAGGCCTATCTGCTCCTCTATAAGCAGTGAACTGTCAATTTTCCCTGCATAAATAGCACGTCTGATTTTCCTCACAGACATACAGCCAAGGGATTGAATTAGCCTGCCAAAAAGAAAGAGAGTTTGTGAAGCACTCTGTAGAATGCACGTGGAACCTAGCAGAAGCCCAGCAAAAACTTGGTAGTTTAGCACTGCATAATTCAGAATCCTGCGATCAGGAATCTGCTCAAGCAAAGACTGAAGCTGCAGAGTTGAGATGGAGAGAGGAAGAGTGGAGAAGAAAAGAAGAAGCACTAAACCAGAGGGAAAGACAGAATCTATGGAACACAGATCTCGTTAGTAAGGAGGTATTTAATAAGGTATGACCCATATCAGTGTGCATGCATATAACTGCTAGCCTCTTTTTTTCATTCCACTTGTTACTAGTTGAGTGTCTTCTGTACAGCGTAAAACCACAGTATGTGTTAAATTTTTTTTGTTTGTTTCTTACTTTGCCTGATGAAAGGGAGCAAGCTGCACTCGTACGACAAATCTGGATGACAGTTCTCTTCCAGAAATGCAGATCAGAACTTGTGTGGGTCATCTAGGTATTAGATTTGAGCCAGCAATGTGCACTTGCAGCCCAGAAAGCCCACTATTTCCGGGCTGCATAAAAAGAAGCGTGGCCAGCAGGTCGAGGAAGGTGATTCTGCCTCTCTATTCCACTCCAGTGAGACCCCCATCTGGAGCGCTGTGTGCAGCTCTGCGGTCCCCAGTACAACAAAGGCAAGGATCTGTTAGAGCAGGTCCAGAGGAGGGCTACAAAAATGATCAGAAGGCTGGAGAACCTCTGCTGTGAAGAAAGGCTGGGGGAGTTGGGGTTGTTCAGCCTGGAGAAGAGAAGGTGCTGGGGAGCCCTTACTGACCTTATTGTGGCCTTTCGCTACTTAAAAGGGGGCTTATAAGAAAGATGGAAAGAGACTTTTTTATAACGGCCTGTTGTGATAGGACATGGGGCAATGGTTTTAAACTGAAAGAGGGTAGGTTTATATTGGATATAAGGAAGAATTTTTTACAGTGAGGGTGGTGAAGCACTGGAACACGTTCCCCAGAAAAACTGTGAATGCCCCATCCCTGGAAGCAATAAAGGTCGGCTTGGATGGGACTTTGAGCGACCTGATCTAGTGGAAGATGTCCCTGCCCACAGCTGGGACGGGGTGGAACTATATGATCTTTAGATGTCCCTTCCAACCCAAAACACTCTATGATTCTTTGTTGTGCAAGCGTTGCCAAATGTGCTGAACAATAGTTTCTTCACATGAAGAGTGTGCTTCTCTCCTGTGCCAAATTCTTAAAATGTCGAACTGTTAGTTTGCCTCTAATAATGATTACTGTAATACAGATTATTTAGCACAAACTTTTTTTTTTTATAGTAGAACCTCAGCTTTTATTTTTTAATTTGAACAGTTAGCGCATCTCCTGATTTAGCTGCATCCAGGCTGCAATGTACATGATTCTCATTGTTGACAGATCAGTATGTTCCTGCATGAGGACAGAGGTTTCTCAGAGTTCTTTGGTCAGTAGACTATAATGAGACTTCTAAACTATATTATTGGGTAATGCAATTTTTTAAAGAAAACTTTCTCAAGTGTATGACATGAGTCTAAAATTAGAACATAGCTTTTCAAATAGTAACATATTAAAATATAATACTCCTACATATCACAAAAAGGTATGTCTGGAGTTTCTGTCATAGTACAATTTTTCTTTTCCTCAGAGTTTTATTAATCAAAAAAGAAAAGAAACAGAAGATGAAGATGTGTCTGAACCACGTATGCAAAAACATGAACAAAAGATTCGACACTTTGGTGAGTGTGCTTTTTCCAACATTCTGCAGTTCAAACTTCTATAGAATTTGTAGGTTTGCTCCTTATTGTACAGAATGAATGCTAACAAGTTAAAGACCTGGCTGTCAGACTGTTCAGCGTTATTTTGTCAGGACAGATAATAATTTCAAAGTGAAATAAGGTGTAAACTGTAGAAGCTTATTAGTTCCTGTGACCAGTAAGAACTTAAATAAAAAAAAAATAAAAATAATACTCTAATGAGCTTAAGCCCTGAAAACTAAAGTTCTAGCAACTTTTTGTGCTGTTCTGTGGGAAAAGGCAGGGACACTCATGTAAATGTAAGTCGTGTGTATAACAGTGCATGGGATTGTCCATAGCTCTCTCCTTTTAATGTTTTTCTGGTGGCTGTTAAGCTACAAGGGTAATGACTGAAATTAATGGGTAAGCTACAAGGGTAATGACTGAAAGGGAAATGTCTGTAAATGCCTACTGACAGTGTGTGTGCATGGAACTGTGTTTCTTAAAATTATAATTAATTATCCACTAGGTGTCACTTCAGCTCTGTCGTAATTGTTGAACCCAATTAAGCACAAAGCCGATCTTTTAAAGTAATCTGAAATTTTTGTGGTTCTCTGAAGTGCTTTCCATTCTCAGTTACAGGCTGGTTTCAGACTATGGTATAGTTTAGTAAGTCCATTGTAAAAAGGGACAGTGCATTAATGCTTTTTCAAGTCTCTTGTTCTGTGCTAGTTGCTGCCAAGGGGCAGTGTGGATTTTGCTAGTCACATTGCATGAGTCCTGTTTCTGGATCTTGCTCTGGCTTCCAAGCAATAAAGAACTTATGCATGATAGCTCTCTTGAAAACAGCCAAAAGAAGTACTAGCCGTTGCTTTCTCTTTAGGCATTTGTTTGCTAGAATTAATATTAGCTGAGGTCGTTACCACTGAATTATCTTTAGCCCAGTTATAATTATACGCTGATGGATGGGTAAAGCTGTACATCTGGTACCTGTTGCCAGTAATTCCTTGACTATCAGTGATACATGAAGGACAATTTCAAGAAGTGGTCTGAGTATTGAGTTCTGATTTTTAAGCTCAGCACTTTACAGGAACGTAGCTTCATGCTATCACAATTCAGCCTTCTAGTTAAGTTTCCAATGCTGATGTGGCTTTGCTTTTTGAGATCAAGCTGTTCCTGTAATTAAGTTCAAATTTCCTAAAAACCTCGCAAATCATGTGTTAGAAGGACTTTCTCATTTTTGACAGATTACACATTCTTTTCTTTGCATTCTTATTTACAAACATTTAGAGCATTTGTGTTTGTCAAAAGCACTGAATGTAAATTTCTATCCATTAACTTTTTAAACTATTTGATGGTGTAACTAATAGATACCTACACCACTGTTGTTACTGTATATGAGAACTGATTAAACATAACATCAGCAATTCTAGAGATGCATTAAAATATAGGAAATTGTGACTGTTAAAATCTACTTCTAGTATCTTCAAAGTCTGATTACACCTTCTGGTAGTAGTCTTTCAGCGTTGTTTAGATGTATAAATAAAACCCCCAAATTTAGCCGCATGCTGTCATTGTGAGGTTAGTGAATTACAAAGGTGTTACGTATACTGGGGTATCAATGGAACTAACTTCCTTGCTGCATTAAATCATTTATCCATTTAGAATATCTTAACTATGCTTCTCTTATTAGGTATGCTGAGCAGATGGGACGATAGTCAAAGATTTTTGTCTGATCACCCATATCTTGTATGTGAAGAAACATCTAGATATCTCATGTTGTGGTGTTTTCATCTAGAAGCTGAACAGGTATGATGAAGATGTTTAAATTGTTTGAAAGCACACACTTTCCCACTTGCACTATAGAAAAGCTGACCAACTTGATTAGCTGTTTAACTGTTCTTCCTATCCTCTCTCTACTTTATTGAAGAAAAACATTATAGTGCATTGTCACATACATATCTAGCTGTAGCTAATTATTAGTTCCCTTGCTTCTGTGAGCATCAGTTCTCATTTGTTTAGGAAAGAGAACAAAAAGAAATTATGCTGAATTTTAGAAATATAATCACAGGAAATATCTTTAAGTTATAACTTTAACTCTTCTATTATTTTTTTTCCTCAGAAAAGAGCTCTGATGGAGCAAGTAGCACACCAAGCAGTTGCAATGCAGTTTATTATAGAAATTGCCAAAAGCTGCAATGTGGATCCAAGAGGGTGTTTTCGTCTCTTTTTCCAAAAAGCCAAAGTAAGTCAGCTTGGGCAACGATGGGAGAAACTCTTGATGCTGTACAAGGGACCAGTGTTTTACAGAAGGTTTCTTCCTAACCATAAAAGGCTAAATATTTTATTGACTGACTTAGGCTTATGGGAAAGTGTTTTGTTAGCAATTATTTTCTAGACAGAATATTTTGGTGTAATTCCAATTCTGAAAAGGGAAGTTTTCTGGACTTTGCTTATCCCAGAGGTAAAGCAAGATACAACAGAGGGACAACAGGGCTGTTATAGACGAGTAATAACTATGTGACAACAGCGGACACAGACCAGTTTAAGGACTGATTTTGGCTAATTACACCTATGTATTGTCACAACTTTCCATTTCATCTGCAGATCACACTGGGGCCCAACAGCATCCCTTTCTCATTACTGAAATAGAGCAATCTAGAGCTATGCAGGAGAAATGTGGAAAAATGAAACTATGGCTTGCTGTAGCCAGTACTCAGTTATTCAAGACTTTGGTGGCTCTCAATATTGCCTAAAGGAGTTCAGTTAAAGTGCAAGTCAACTTGTGCTTTACTTTGGTCCAGAGTGCTACAAGCAGCACCTGTTCTTCTAAGGGTACTGGCTTCTGATCTGGAATAAAGGAAAGGCTAAAATTAGATTTATTTTTACATGTCCTTAGATAAATCAATTAATTTTCTTCTATATGTAAATACTAGAGATTGTCTTAAAAAGAAATCTACCTGAAATTTTGTTTTAAATTGACTAACATTATTCTTGAGTTGTTCAGAGTTGTTATCCCCAAAGGATATGATTGGGTTTTTTTTTTCAGCGCTGTGTATGCTTACAGTTCAAAACTAAGTCTGGCTGCAGTGCAAATATTTCATTTTCTCTTTGCAGACAGGAGAAGGTTATTTTGAGGCTTTTAAAAATGAACTCGAGGCATTCAAGACGAGGGTGAGAATCTGGTCACAATCACATGGCTTTCAAACTATGTTACTACACGATCTCAGTGTCAATCCTGGTCTTGTAAGAGAGCTGACATCTTTTTCACAGGTAGGTTTATTATTTCTAGAAATTAATTTAAGTAAAGTAGGATTGGGTCCTGCCTTTAGAAGCTGTACCTTTCTGAAATATAAAGAGGATTATTCCTAGAACTGCTAGTGCTCAGGATATAATGTGCAGTATTATCAGTATGCAAGGCATATATGGGCTTTGCTTTTACTTGCTGGAATTCAGAAAGCATTAGCATAAGGTCAGAAGCGAATTTTAGTTCAGTGCCCTTACATTTTCATGCTTAAAATATTAGCACTGCATCATAAAGCTGATCAGATGCTAGAATTGTATTCACAGTCTTTACCACAAACAGTGAAATGAGCATTCAGTGTAAAATGACTAATTGTATTCATGGGATCATTCAGGTAAGTCAAGCCTAAGGGAAGTCTCCTGTTCTGATAAAAGGAAACTGAGGTTACTTAGGTCTTTTGTTACAGTACTAGTGATGGCCACATTCTGGAATGAAGAAACAATTTAAAAGACTGTAAAAAATCAGGTATTGGGAAAGGACTCACAGTTGAAACTACTTGTTTGAAATAATTTGATTAAAGTACCTCACAAGTAAGATCCAACAGCTGAATTTTACGTAAATGTGCAGTCAAGTGCTAGAAATTTTGAGACCAAATAGAAGCTCTGACAGCAGATTTAAAGAATTCTTAACACAGTGAGATAATATTGGTGGACGAGTTTTTCAGAACTTAATTCCTTATTATTGCAAATTTGCCTCAAGATGGACAACACAAAGAATCCAACTTAAGCTAAAATCTCTCTGTTTCTGTCTTTCTCTCTCCCTCCATATATACAGTTACAGAGAATTAACTGTCAATTTTTCATCTGTTGCAGAACGCAGGTCATCTACAAGGTTCCATAAACACAGATGACTGCAGTTTAAACTCTGTGATACAAAGAGATGAAGAAGAATCCAAAATGATGGACACAGTATAGTACTCTTAAGACTGAGGCCAAGTACTCTTTTTTTCTTTTTTTTTTTTTCTTTTCAAAGAAACAAACATGGGTATTTTCTTGACACGTTTTTCTGGGTACTGCACTTTATTTTTAGTGTCAGATTTTTTTGTTGTTGTTGTTTTTTGGTTTTAGGGGAGAGGAGATTTTAAAGGGTGGGTAATTCAGAAAAACTTTTAATATTGTTTGAAAATGTGCTGCTAGGTTTTTGGATGTCCGTGAAGAGCAGGGTTCTCATATTGCCGAATGTGAAACTGGATGTGTTTTCTGCTACTAACCTTGCCTTTCATTATGTTAGAAATTAAAGTATGAAAAAAAAATCTGCACAAATACAATGTTTACAAGAAGTGGTAGATTCTTGGTAGAATCTGCTATTGTTTTACTACAGATGTGGACATGTTTTACTCTATGAATATTGGAGATCACAACTGTATTCATGCTACCTTGCTGACATTATAAGCTCTCAAATTTGGTAATCACTAATAGCAATAAATCATTATCTGGTATCAGTATTTCAGATCTGAATGGGTTAGATTAAAACACTGGCATTCTACCTCTACGAAGGGGATTTAAATGTTACATTGTGCTTTCATTAAACATAACTTGGTTTTGTCCTAAAATGCAAGCAACACTTTTCTACATCTGAGTGCTGGGTTGTATGATTTCTGAGAGTCTGACTCTTCATAAGGCTAACTTCAACTTTTTTTCAAACCAAGTCTCATTATGGGGAGAAGTACTAGATGGAGGGAACTTGAGGCACAAGGGTTAGGCTAAGACTTCAGTTTAAAAGCTTTGTTGCAGTTCATATAGGGTAAGGTGTCTTGCAGGTTTTGAGAGGTATTTCATGTGCTGCTGAACTAAAGTGGGTTTCTGACATTGCCAACTCAAACAATTAAAGTGAAAAATCATTAAAAATTTCCTGTTTGAGGAGCTGAAAACCCAAATACTATTTTTAGAGAAGGCCTTCCACAGGATCTCTGTAGTCCAAAATTCTACTATGCTTTTCTAACTTGCTGCTATACAGCAGTTCTATACATAAAAATTTATACTGCAGTTGGAAGACTCCAGGGAAGACAGTTCGTATCTCAAATAATGGTATTGGTACACACGCTCAGTCCTTTACTGTACGGTTCTGATTCTATGTCAGGTCTGGAAGGTATGTAGATTTCAATAGTTTGATGAACACAGTCTACCTGTAGTTGGTAATTCAGGCAAAAGCTATGCTGAGATCCAGTAATTTTCAGTTTTGGCTATAGCTGAGATAGTGGAAAGTCTGCAGTATATACCACCAGAGTGAGTATTGGTATAGAGGCAGTAGCAAAAGTAGTAACTCCAGATCCACTGATAGAACTAACTTTCTGTGTGCCTTGTGTTTTTGAGCAGTTCTTTTGCAGACAGACTGAGGATAAAAGAGCAAGCAGCAACTCTGTCCCAGATGCAAATTGGAGATAACCAGCTTCAGTCGTAAAGTAATTTTTTATTATTTTTTTTTGTTTGACAGATACTCCTAAAAGGATAAGTAAACACTACCTCCTCCTTAATAATTAGTTAATTATTAAGGGAAACCAAGGGAAACTAATAACTTCAGGTTGTTTTTTAACTGAATGTCATGTACAAGGGTAGTAAGGGCAGTGAAACAGTGATTTGCAGTTGCTGCCATTAGCAGTAGAGCCACATTGATCTAGCAATCTGTGATATACTGGAAGTTATTTTTAAAGTTTCTAAGGGGCTAAAATTGGATGGTGTGGGAATAAGTGTCAAATCATAAGGAGATTCCCTCCCCCATCTCCCTCCAGCTAACTGAAACTTATGTAGGCTAGCAAAAAAACAAGCATAGCTGCTCTTTATTGAAATCAAAATGCACTAATAGAAGTAAGCAGCACATCAGGGTTTCTCATCGTAATGTGGTAGCTACTGTTTTCTAACCATGACTTTTTTAAGGAAGTGCATCTCTAAACTCACCCAGTCTACAGTCTCCATATGCACATTTCTGAAGATGAAAGTACAAGCGGTCAGCCTTGTGGCAAGCTTTCTTTAAAATGTAAGGAATGCTGCTTGCAGCAATAGCTGCTGCCCATTTTCTTCATTTATAGTAATGGGAAAGCTTTACAAATTCTACAATTATCATCTTTTTTAGACTCAAATATGTCTCAATATTGACAATGCAAAACTAGACATGCAAATGTAGTCCAAGGTACGTCAGCACCACAGCTCTGTAGCTGTTAACAAACAGCCACTGCAAAAGATTGGGACCTGCATTAGGAGGACGGAGCTACTTCAGACGTTGCCTAGACAGAGTTGCTTGTTCCTCAGGTTTTGCTGACTCTTCTTGAAACTCTCAGTCTGGTGAGCATAAAAAAAGGGCTAAGAGAGTTCACTGAAAAATAGCAATGTCTGCATTACCTGCACTGTTAAAAAACGTGGCCTGTGGAGGTTTGTAACTCCAGTTATCTAGTGAATAAATAGAGACAAGAGCTGGTTGGAGACGTGAATTAATAATATGAACTCGTGAAAACCAGTCCAGTTTGCTACAATAAAACTGTAATATGACAGTTAATAATTTGACCACTGGAAATCCTGGCACTGGCATCAATGAGCAGTTTCAAAGATAGTAGAAAAGACGCATTCGCTTGTCAAGATCATCTTGCGACAGGTTTACCAAATTACACTTAATCTGTTCGGTATCTGCTGTCTTTTTTCTAATAAAGTCTTACACAGCTGCACAAATACAGAAGCTTTACCAAATGCGTTACATATCATTGAAACGGTTTCTCATGCCTGCAAGATAGCTGCTCTGAGGGCAGAAATATAAACATAGTAATAAGGCCAATTATCTAACCAAGTGCTAAGGGTAATTTAAGCCCAGCAAAATCAACTAACGTCTGTGGAAGCAAAGTTAAAAGAAGATGATTGCCTTCCACGAGATCAACCTGTATGTATGCCAGTTCTGGTCTGAAATGGCTTTTTGCAGAATGGTGGTCATGGTTCCCCACAGCTTCTGGCTGTCCCACACAATCAAGAAACGTACTTTCATGTTCTTGTCATTGCTTCGCACTACAATTCATGAGTGAGTAAATCAATCAATGGGCTTTGTAATTAAGATGTATTCTGAAATGTGTGTCCTTCACCAGGTCAATATTTGCAAACTTACGTATTTTCTGAAAAAGAGACACAAGAGTCGCTACTTTTGTTAAAGTCAGTTACTATATTATAAAAATTAGGTATATTTAATATAAAAAATACAGCATTGAAGTAAGAACCACAGGTGACACAGTTTTATCATAATGTAAGTTAAGGACAAGATTAGATTTTAATTATTGATCAGTCTGGTAGACTACGTAGAGAAATCCTTGATTCTTGAATTTCATGTAATCACATGTGAGCTATGACAGATGAGCAGAAGTTAGACCTGTTTTCACCTGGGAGTGGCGGCATCTTTCTGGCTTACATCTGGCAACTTGGTTTGGAGGAAAGCATAGATATGTGGCCAGATCTGATTGGTTTCTGTTCCAGAGAAGGATTTCAATAACCCTTTTTCCCTAAGGAAGGAGAAGAAGAAAGCATTACAGAAGTCAAATTGTTTAATTGTTCCAGGATTTCCACCTCACTTTAAGATTGCCCTGTTAGGAGTGTGCGAATATGCATGTGATTTAACACCAAGAACAGCCGTAACATTGGGAATGCAGGCTGGACATGCATTACTCTGTTCCTTGGTGAGCTATTGGCGACATCAGTTCATAAAACCGACAGCTGTCCACAGAATACTTAATAACAAACTATGAAGGGTAAAAATAAGCAGCAGCAATGCAGTCATATAGCACATGCTATACAGCAGTCATCCAAACAACTGTGACTAACCCAGGTATTGTAAAGCTACACCTCAAGGATCAAAGATGGTGCATCAGAACAAACAAGTGAACCAGGCACAGTCAAGTTATTCTGAATTAGTTCTAGTAGCTAGTTTTATCTGTAAAGTATGTTATGATCAGTAATAATAATAGATTAGGCCTATGTCTTACTGTGGTGCTTTGAGGCATTTTCACTTCAGAAAGCTACCAAAGCCAGGAAAATCATTGTCAGTCCAGAAAAACTCCTTCTTTAAAACTTAAACACCCCAAAGATGGAGCTTCTAGTCTTCTGTTCAACAGTTTTGGTAGACCATAATGAAGGGTGGTGGATATGGACATAGAGGAAGGACAAGTCACTTCAGGATGTTGTCAGAGAGTCTGATTTTTTTGTCTACGCGAGATAAGACTACAAAGGTCTACATGGTGACCTACTAATATCTGTGTATTAACAATGTGATATTTGCAGCTTCACATTAAGAGAAACTTTGTGTGTAATTCTGGCTCTTAAAGAATAATAATTCGTTACCATTCCACAGTGCAAATGGCAGTATTCTCAAATAGCTGCTTAT